AAAAAAAAATAAAAAACACTCATTGGACCAAACCAGACCTAGTATGTGGCCTCGTGTACCTATCTGTCCGTCCATCCAGAAAGTGGAATAGAGGGATGCAGTGCTTAAAGAGGCTGTGGTAATCCTTTTGTAAAGGTAATGGTAATTTCTTCTAATACCATTTTCTGCATATTTCATATGTCTCTTTATCTAAAATTTGTTTGAATAGTATCAGAGGGTAGGGTGCCTGGGTGACTCAGTTGGTTAAGTGTCCGACTCTTGGTTTCAGCTCAGTTCATGAACTCATGGGTGGCGGGATCGAGCCCTGAGTCAGGCAGTGTGCTCAGCAGGGAGTCTGCTGGAGATACTCTCTCTCTTCCTCTCCTTCTGCCCTTCCTCCCACACGCATGTGTGTGCTCACTCTCACACGCTCTCTCTGAAATAATAAATGTTTTTTAAAAAAAATAGTGATTTCTATAATCAGAAAATGTACAATGAATTGTACAACACAATGTAGGGTTAGCAGTACAGTTTTATGTCTTTCTGTTCTTAATATCATGGCTTCTTTGACTCCCTCTTTTCTGTTAATCAGTTTTTGTAAAGCAGATATTGCCCTATAACGGATGTCGTTCATGCTCATGTTCACTGTGACGCGAGAAGGGTTCAGGGCAGTTCAGAAAGTGTCCAGATGGCACTTGTAGAGATAATAAAAGAAGGTGTGTGTTGGGGGGAGAGGAGATATGTAGAGTGAAAGAATTCAGCACAGACTAGGCAAAGTCTGTGAAGGAAGCCAGATGCCTTTAACCTGATAGGATAATCTCCATTTGAAGGAAGAACACTGAGCATTCAGGTATATAGGTATATAGTACATGTCACATTGATTGCATTGCTTTGGGGTGGCCTCTGTAGAGGTGGTTTTATTTATTTTTAATTGTTCTTAGAAATATTTCAGCATTATCTTTTAATAAGGTCACTTAAAAAACATAGTCATATGCTATTATCACTTCTTTAAAAAATAACTATTTCCTTAATATCTAGCAAGTGTTATAATTTTCAGTTGTCTCAAATGCTGTAAATGTTTCTTATAACTCTCTGCTTAAATCAGAATCCAAGTAAGTTCCTCTTGGAACAACTCTTGGTTGATATGTTTCTTAAGTATCTTTAACACGTATAGGTCTCTCCCTCCATTTCTCTCCCATGTATTTGTGGAAGAAACTGGGTGGCTTGTCCTGTTGAGTTGGCCAGTCTAGATTTGCCCGATGTCATTGCTGTGCTGTAATTTAACAGGTTCCTCTGTCTTCTGTGCTCCCTGTAAATCAGTAGTTACATTTAGAGGCTTGATCTGATTGAACTTTGATCTGGTGGGTCAGCTGTCGGGGGTTGACAAAAGTCATTTGCCAGTGGTGGGGTGATCTTCCAGAGGTCCCAGACATCTGGTGGTCGGTCTGTCCTGTGTTGTTAGCAGCCATTGATGACCAGTGACTGGATTTATTAATTCCTGAGGGTTTGCAGAAGGATATTTCTCATTACTAGCTAGACTATTTCTGTTAAGAGCAGCTTCTCATCTATCTTTACCTTGAAGTACAGTCATACTGGAATGTCAGGATAAATGTCTGAATCTTTTTCTTTATCAGTTTTCAAAATAATGAACTGGTTTCTTTGCATCCTCCAGTGGTGGTCAGAGTATTTTTATACACTCATTGATTTAAACATTTTATAGGCTTTTAAGAGGAAATAGAAATCTGGAAACTGCCACATTTCCAGCCTCCAAATGTGTATGTAGTAGAAGTATTTTCTTGTATTTATGAAGGCTTACATCTTTGCCCCCCACATATCTTTCTTGAAAAGCCCTCTTGAAGTCTTGTCATCAGCCAAGAGATAGAGGAATAATCCCTTTTCCAGAATCTTTGGGGCCAACTCTATTCCGCCCCCCCCCCCCCCCCCATGCCATTTTATTTTACTAGAATTTCAGACTTTTTCAGACTTGCGGAAAAAATGATTCCCTAGTTGGCCATACTCTGTGAATATTGTTACTTGTTCATGTTTTCCAGCTGTAGAACCCTTCACCCAATCTCCCCTCATATTACCATCTCCCACAGTCATAGCGTGTTTACCCAAGCTAAGGAATGATTACCGCCGCAGTCCTAGGGAGTGGACTGCAGACTTTATCTGGATTTGACCAGCACTCCCCACTGGTGTCCTTTTGCTGATCCTGTCTGGGGCCCCAGGCTGCACTTGGTTGTCACAACTCCTTAGTCTCCTACTGTCTGGGTCTGGTCCTCAGCCTTCCTTGCCCTTCATGATACATTTGCAGAGTGCTGGTCCTTTACTCTGCTTGGGCCTATCTGATGCTTTTTTGATTAGGCTGAGGTGATGGATTTTTTTGGAGCCAGAAGTGAGGTACCCATCTCATTGTGTCTTATTGGGGTCCATACAATAAACATATTACAGGTGATGTTAACCATTATCACTGGGTTAAGGCGTTGTCTGCCAGATTTCTCCATCATGAAGTTCCTGTTTTTCCTTTTACAGTGAATATTTTTTTTGAGGTAGATACTTTGGGGTGGTATGCAAATCTCAGGGATCTGCAAGATGACCCTGACTTCTGACACCAGCTACAAAAGTTCGAGGGTCTCTGAGACCACTCTTAGGTTCACTAATTCTCTAGGAGGGTTCAGAACTCAGTTATAGATTATTGGAGTGAAAGGATATAGAATAAAGTCAGCCAAGGGAAGAGGAGGGGCATAGGGTAGGCTCCAGGTAAGTTCCTAGTGTGAAGCTTCCCATCAGCCTCTCCTTGGAGTTGTAGACAATGCTAACTTCTCCCATTGTGTGACAGTATACATGAAGTATTGGCAACCAGGGGAGCTCACCTCGGCCTTCATGTCCAGACATTTATCAGTTGTGATTGCACAGATGGCTGCTTGTCCATGAGGCTGACTTAGTCTTCAGCCCCTCCGAAGGACAAGCTGACACTGTGACCCAAGACCTACACTGGAAGTCACACTGTTAGACTCTCTGGAGTAGCTGAGAACTCCCAGGTAAACAGACACGCTTGCCAGGTAGAACTTTCCAAGGACCTTGTGATTTCTTCTCAGGAGCCAGGGGCAAAGGCCAGACTTGACCTTGGGCAAGGTTAATCTGCCCCTGCATTCTGTGCAAATACCCTGTTTCTCCTTAAACCTCCCACCAATTCAGTGCTTAAGGGTAGATTTTGTTACTGTGATGTGCTAGTGGTGATTTTTTTTCCCCCTTATTCTTGTACGTTTATTAGACGACTTCTGTAAAGAAAAGCTGTCTCTTCTTCCTCATTTATTCAGTTATACCAGTATGGACTCAAAGGTGGTTATCCTTTAGGCTATTATAAGGAATGTTGGACTATAATCAGTATTACCAGTATTTATTTTGCTGTTCAGATTGTTCCAGCTTTCGCCACTGGGAGCTCTTTCGGTTGGATTCTTGTGCCCTTTTGACGCACCCTGGCTTTTTAGGGGAGCATTTCCCTACTTTGTGGCACCATCTGTGTTTTTCCTGCTCCAGCCCAGTATTCAGCCACTCCCCCAAGGAGCGCTGTTCCTTTTATTAGGAAAATGTATTAGAAACCAAGGTCTGGGTGCTCCTTGTGGTGGTTGCTCATTGCTACTCAGCTGTCATTGTGTCTAGGCCCTCCCAGCAGACAGTGCTAGGAAATATCTTCATGTACATTAACATGCTGGCTGTGTTTTGAATTCAAAATATTTTACATTTTAGAATGGTAATAAGCAAGACTAAGATTTGTAACCATGCATGTGAGTATTTATATGAAAACTTATTCTATATTTCTTAACACGCCCAGTTACTACATCAGCACTTTTCAGTTAAATATATTCATTTAATATGAGTTCAGGTCAGGTGTTGGCTGGTAATTATTTTTGGCACCAAATTTAGGGGGGGAAGTGTCGGTTTGGGAGCTTTTTGGGTTTCAGGATTAAAAGATTGTTGTGTAGTAAATCTAGGAACAAAGAAGTTGAAGGGAAACGACTTAGTGGAATTAAGTCACTTAAACACAGTTGGGATTTTGTTATCACTGTAGTTAAGTGCAGAGTGCACATATTGATTCTTATAAAATGTGCAATCTGAATGATTTGAAAAATAAGGTATAGGGTCTAAAATTCAAGATTATTCCCATTGGGTTGCTGTTGCATATAGAAAATAAAATTGTGCCAGTTTGTTTATCTTTAGTATTGTGGCTTACCCCCTCAAAATAAACCAAGAATATTTTCTCAACATAAAAAAGTAAAGAGAAACTTTCATTTTTGAATCTGATAGCGAAACAAACTTTTTTTTTTGTAACCAACCATGAATAGATGTGTACCTTTCATGTGTCTAAGAGCTGGGGAAAGGAAAAGAACGGATAGGACTTACAGGAAGACACAGTAAACAGCAAAACCTACTGACTGCCCTTTTTCTTGACTGAGTCAAAAAGGAAAACCCAATTCTGCATTGTCTAAAAGAGGCACATCCTGGATGGAAATATTGAGGAAGGTTAAAATTTAAGACCAGATAAAACAAAAATCACAAGGGGTCAGTACTAATGTCATAGGTGTGGAATTCAAAAGAAGCAATTGGGGCAGAGAAGATTTTCCCTATCTTTGGTTGCTGTTCACATGTAATCAACAGCAAGACTAAGATTTGTAACCATTCATGTGAATATTTATATGAAAACTTATAATATCAAATAGGATAAAGTAAAAACGT